CTATAATTTTTCAGCATAGCATTATCCTGAAGGAAAAAGGAAATAAAAAACAAATAAATGTGACAAAAGAAATAGAGAAAACTATCATTGAAGTGTAACTCCACTTCTGCTGAGAGGAAAAAAATGCAATGTGGGGAATTTATCAAAACTGGAGCAGGCCCCACCCCCTTCCGCCTCCACAAAACCATGTGTATCCAGCAGTTATCTCTTGGTTCATTGCTGACTATATGCCTATCACTCTGTGAGCATTTTAGCCTTATGCCCGTCATACCCGCTAAAATGTCTGATTTGGTGGGACATTCTCTGCCTCAACGTTTTTCCTCCTCCTCTCATGATATGGGATAAGCTCTTCTTGGCCCCCTCTATTTCTTTTGGGTAGTTTTCCACCAATAAGGGGCTCTGGTAGCAGGTTAGTGCCAAATCATGGCTTAAGATTAATATGCCCACCTCCATCACTCTATAGCTACTGCTGTTACTAACATAAAAAGGTAATGACATGTTATCACAACACTTATCCCTGCAGATGAATTTGTTGGGCCCTGCATAGAATCAGGACATGAGATTGCACTGACCCAGGAAGATTAAGAACCCATAATGCATAATCTGTGTTTTTCAGCAATACACATGTATTTACTCATTGGCCAATTTCTTCTACTGGAGCATGGATAGTGGGCATTCCCCCTGGTTTGAAAATCTTCTGGCCAGGGCAATACATTCTGCAGACCTGGATACAGTTTGGCTGATAATAAGCATTGTGATAGAAGCTCTTGCTCTACTTACTATACAATTAATTGTGTTTCGGTGTTTAAGGTTATTAGACTTAGACAACTCCATGTAAATATCACTGGTGGGTGGATGACACAACTGTGGTTTTGTTTGTTGATAGTTTCTAGATCAGCATTCAAGGGCATAAGTTAAAGGAGAAATAAATAGAAGAAAAAGTGAAATAACACCCCTCCTTCTTTACTGCTTTACATTTCAATATTTTACTTTAGATCTACTTTACCTTGGAGCTTTTTATATGGTGTACATTTGTTACTTGCTCTGCATTACCAGATATATTACTGTGTGATGGAAGCAGCTGTTGAGGGTATACTCACGTATATATTATGTATGGCTGTGATCCAAGATTAAAAATTACCTTATGAATTACTGTATGTAACATTTACATGAACATTGAATATTTTAAACATAGATTTTATACTGTGAAAATTAGTGCTTGCCATCTATAAGGCATTAATACAAATGTAAAGAAAGGGGGGATTGACTGTGATGACACCAATATATGTATATGTTTCTACATTTAGCTATCTAATGTAGTGATAGCTATCAACTCTGGTATGTGACCTATCACAACTCTTCACTGATAATTGTTTTTCCAGATGGAGAAGAAATGTGTCATTCAGGCTTGCTGTTATTTCACATCTATTTCTGTGTCTGTATGTACATAACTAACCTATCTATATATAAATATAGGCAGTTATATAAACATAGATCATAATGGAAGGTAAGAGGTCTGATGGTCTGTCCTCAAATAACCAAATTCTTGGGAGCTACTGTGCTTTTAGGCCCGATGTACCTTATGATACAATGTTAGATAGATAGATAGATAGATAGATAGATAGATAGATTTTTTTGCTAAGAGAAGTGATGTGGCAGTCACATTCCTCATTCCTTTTAGATTGCTAAACTTCAACAAATAGAGTATAGATTACAGTCATCACTGAACCTTACAATGGGGCACTAATTTTCTGCAGGCCGACTCTCTTCTGATATCTGGAATACATGTGTAGGTTAGTCCTGCAAATCCTTAACCTTTACCTAGTTCATTTTGTAACATTTATATTGCCTAACTCCCATGGTGGCAGGTATATATTTGTTTTCATGCTTTGTTGAAATAGTCAAAGGCTACATTGTTGCAGTATGGTATCTAAAGTCAAATAGAACTGTTCTTATCGTGTAACTCTGCCAATACACTTGGGAAATGTTGGCAATACACGGGCAGCTGTGACCATGAACAAGCAATTGTGAAAATACCTAGCTGATTGTGGCATTCTATACACAGCTGTGACAATACATAGACATTTCTGCTACTACATGCGGTGGATAATCCATGCTCTTTTTTGACAACTCATACCTCTTTTTAAAACCATACTCCTAGGCAAACCACATTTTCTAGCTGTTGCCACATGATACTCTTTATTCTGACTAATTTTTTGTGCCCTTAACGAAAGGTGGTGACTTTGTTACTTCAAAGGAAAATCAGGCACATTGCTTAAATTGTGTCAAGCCATCATTGTAATAAGGTTGGAGGAACATAATACAAGAACATTAGTCATATTGCCAGCAATACTAACAGTACTACTGCTAAGCTGTTGTTGCTGAATAATGTGCAATGTTAAGGCAATGGAAAAATAATGCATTGCTTAGTATAGTGTAAGGAAAATTTCATCAAAGTGTGCTCCTTTGATTTCACAATAGCACATACTTTTTTAAGAGACAGAGCTACATGCAGGATATAGTATTACATAGCGACCAATTAAGATAGCTTTCATTTTTTTTAAGTTTTTGATAAAAGCAGGCACAACTAGTGTATAATTGTCCTTTGCATTATCGTTTTAAATAATTAGCATTACACGAGTATCCTGTAATTATAACAGATGTTTAGCTTTAGCCCTGTAATAAATGAATAGTTATGTTTACTTCGAAAAGTCTAAAACATTGAGCTTTTTCTTGTACATAAACTTTTATGTCTCTATTACAACCTCAATGTTAAAAAATGTTAACTCCAGGGAAAAGTATTTTTGAACCCTTGAGGTGGGGCTACCCTCAGGCTTTTTGAAGGCTGTGTGTGACTATTGATGCACACAGCTACAGCGCAGGTGCATCCACGCTCAGATATCTCCTCAGCACCTGGCTAGCTGAAGGAGGCACCCTCAACAAAAGGGGGAGGGGAGTGATTTAGGGAACATCTGGAGAACATTCAGGATGTAATGGAACCCCGCCATCTGCGCATGTGCAACCTGCACGTTCCCGCACTGCTCTGGAACGCGCCATCCCGCGCATGCGCAGAAGCAGTAGCCTACCAGCACGAAAATCCGCCATAGCGGCGCACAGGAAATGACATCACTGGCCCTATATAAACCCAGCAGCAGTACCACCATGTTGCTGGTTTATCGTCAGCTAATCCTTGTTCCAGTTTTTATGATATCTTGCTTGATCCTTGAGACCCGGACTTCCTCGACAAACCTTGAATTCTGCCTGCCTTGACCACGGAACTGTTATTTGACCATTCTTCTGCCTGACCCCTTTTGTACTGGAATTGCCCGGTTGGAACCTGACCTCGGCTCGTCTCATTGGACTATGGCTTGCACGATGCTCAACACCACTGGCACTCCTGCCACTTGTTGTCCTGCTGGGCTCTGTTCCCATCCTCAGAGTCTCCCAGGACACAAGGTGCAAGGGAAGCCTCCTCTCACATCCGGTCTCCCAGAAGGTACGTAACACAGGAACAGCAATTTAAAGGCAAAGAACAGAAAAAATCATGTAAGTGTGGGCTTTCTCTTTATAAATAAGTAAAAAAAATGAAAGGTTTAATATGACTTTAATAGATTTTTTTCCATAGAGTTCTTATTTCAATATAGTACTTTCTTATTAGGGTAGTGATACACAGGGGCATTGCACGATTTGCAAAGGAAATAGTTATCTAGTAGGTATTAATTTGGACCACTTTTCCCCCCCAATTCACTAATAACTCCAAGCAATATTTATGAATGTTGGGGTCTACTCTGCTAAATTTCCAGTCATTTCCATTATTCCCTCTTCTTAAATAGTATTATTATTTCTAGCAGTACTATTTAAAGTTTTTTTGTTCCACGTGTATCTGATAAAGGTGGTAATGTAACACAGTAATTACTTGTCATATTAGTAATAGAATATGTGACTGCCAACAGTTCTCAGAATCTGTGGTGTTCCGTAAACTTCTCCGCAAACCGAAAAAAACATACAACCAGGCAGATCACCTGCCTGCTAAAATAGAGGAACTTCATAATTTGTCTGTGAAGGTTCTCATTCATCCAGGTCATGGTATATCTGTAAACAATAAGTCAAGGCAACTGGGCTTGCTGTATTTTTCTTAAGGACAAAAAATCTGGTTGGATGGCCAGTGAAACGTCTTCAAGAAAAATACAGCAAGTCCAGTTGCCTTGACTTATTTTTTTACAGATAAGCTTCATCATTTGCCCAGTGTTTTTTAACAAAATGGCAATTTCAGGTGCTTAAACCTTTTGTGCCCAAATCATCAGTTTGGTCAAATATAAGCTGTTTTAGTTAATTTTTTTTGTTTGACAATTACAATATTAAACAGAGGTTCTGCCAGGTTCAGGCTGCAGTAGCATCTGCCATTGAAAGGCCTTCGGCCTAGATGTCTCCTTTAGCCGCACCTGCAACTAACAGCTCTTTATAATGTTCTAGCCAGTTCATGTTAGCACTTGACTGTAGCATAGTCCTCTATTTTTTGTTGCCATACTTATTGTAGTTGATCATGACTCAGGGCTGTTATATAGGATTGAGAACAAATCCTTTCTCAGTGGGTAATTTAGTACAATTACATTTTGTTGATGACACAGTATACATGCATGAAGTCTGTTATCATCTGTTAAGTTTATATGATGCATTCATTTTCTCTTATTAACAGTTTATTTACCCGTTTTGATACTTATCGTTTGGTGGCATGTGTTACCTAAGGTTTTATATATAACTAAGGCTTACATTTTTCATTTTTGTGGGCAGCAGAATAAAATTCTGACATTTAAAATACAATTGTTTCTAATTTACTTTTT